CCAGCACTTGTGAATGGGAATCCACACTTTAGTAGAGCAGCTCTCGACAGCTATCGCAGCTCCTGTCCCCACTGGAACCCAGGGAACCCACCCACACTGCTAGATATACACAGAAATGCCCTCCCCTCATACAAATAATATGAACAGCCGACAAACAAACATACACACAATCCACACAAACGCAACACCACTAACAATACACATACATGCACACAACACCACATGCAGCCTCTCACATGCAATACCCCAAACAGCCCACACACATACACACACTACTAAACATACAATGTGACATATCCATCCACACACAATTCCACAAGCAGCCCTCATACACAGCAAACATTCATATGTATCATACACGATACCATAAACTACTAATGAACATATACAATATAATAGCTCATATAGCACAAATACAATGATACAAAGCAATTACAGTAAAAATACCACAAGCAGAATACGGCAGCATACACACCTCAATTTAAATTTAGAATTTAGAATCAAATGGTTCATTTTTTGTGATCATCCCCAGCAATATCAGTGGGAAATTGATGGACTCAGAACATCTCCGAGCTGAATGCAATTTCCAGTTCTCTTTTGAACTATCTCCTTCCATTGCTAAACCTACCATGCGCATCAGGAGATCCTGCCTTTACCTCTAACTATTTATTTCCACTTAGACTTTCTCACATATCCCTTAAAAAAAAAAAATTACACGCCAATGCTGCAAGGGTAAAAGTCCTTAATCATAGTAATTGCTTGGGAAAGAAGGACTTTGGGTCCTTAATTGAAGTTTCCAGCAGGATAAAATATTGCATGTTTAAGCAGGAAAGCAAACACAATGCTGAACCTCTATTACAAAAACATGCAGCAGAAAATGTATCCCAACATCCAAGAGTTAAGAATCCTATATTTTGTTAAACGCTACATTTCGCTTCCATAATTATCACATTGTGGCACCAGTGTCAGACAGGTTGAGCATAACAAATCTGTATTGTAACTAGCATAATTACTATTTACACTAATTACTATGAATCATTATTGGAATCACCTCTCTTAAAAAGTCAGTTTAATTAAGCCTTTTTGGCTGTAAATAGCTGAATCGTGTGATCATGTATATCGATAAAATCTCTGAGCATAATGTCAAAAGCGCCACTTTTTATTGTACATTTAAAAAAAAAAAAATGAAATGCAAACCTTATATTTGACTCTCTAACTTTCCAAGACACCATAAAACCTGTACATGGGGGTACTGTTTTACTCGGGAGACTTTGCTGAACACAAATATTAGTGTTTCAAAATGGTAACTTGTATTACAACAATGATATTTTTAGTAAAAGTGACGTTTTTTGCATTTCTCACACATGAACGGCACTTTTACTGACGCCTGGAGGCAACTTTGGGGTTAAACTGTTTGAGAATGGTTTAACCCTTTGGGGTAAGAGTGCCTCCAGGGGCCTCCTGGCACCATAACAACTTCATTTGGATGAAGTTGTTTTGTTGCCTGGGGTGTCCCTTGAATACATGTGTGAACATTTGCATGTACACAGGAAGAGAGTGGGTAACTAGAGATTGGCGTAATGAGCTCAGCCAGTTCCTTGTTTTGCTCACATCAGCCAGTAATTAGTAATTAGATTTATACCTTTATTATTTAGAAATGGTGTGTATTGAAAGTATGGTGCATGTATTCACAAATTAATTTCATATCTTCACTTCATTGTGCCTTTGAATGGTAGAGATATTTTAATATGTATAGATTTCATTGTTCCACCACCTACAGAAAAGTTAAAGGTCATGTAAAACCTTATGGAAGTCAGAGCCTAATACAAAACAGGATGACATTTATTTAGTTGTGCTGATTTGTTGATATTGATGTTCGCTTACTTTGTTTTTTTCTTAGTAAAACGTAAATCCCCTCTGGTAAACAACACAAAATTTTAAAAGACTCCTTGTGGTGGCCTTTTTATAACACAGTAGCAAAAAGAATACAAATCGCCATTGGAAACACAACTTTAGTGTTACAATTGGAATTCAATATTTAATCACAAAACACAAGAGTACATTTTAGAAAACTGCATTTGTTTGCCAGTCTTCTTAACTATATGGCTTGTAGACATAAATTTTAATATAGTGAAAAACAAGCAATTAAAAATAAGTATTGATAGATTGCTGGTTTAACTCATAAAAAAAGTGGGTTTTATGTGATCATTAATATTTATAGAAAAGTTTTCAAAATCTAAGCAACAGCACAGCATGGATCAAAGCACAAAAACAGTTTAATAAAACATTTACATTGACTATGAAGCTTATTATGAACAATAATAACCATGAGTTAAAGTCAAATCTTAGGCATGTGGAGTGTGACGAAGAAAATGTGGAAGTTTTATGGGTAGATATCTGCTTGGGGCAAATGAAGGGAAATCAATTATTGTTTGGGATATTATAAACCACCTAATGTAAATATTAATGAAGAAGAACAGCTGTTAAAGCGCTAGGGAATCTGTTGGCGCTATATAAATGGCAATAATAATAATAAAAAGCAAACTGGGAAAGCTGCAAATTGGGGTAACACGTTAATTATTGGAGATTTTAATTACCCGGACATAAATTGGGATAGAGTGACTAGTACTTCAGCATGGGGAAGCAGGTTTTTGAATGTGTTAAATGACACCTTTATGTCACAACTGGTACAAGCACCAACTAGAAAGGATGCTTGTCTGGATCTCGTCATAACAAACAATGTTGATCTTTGGACCAACATTCAAGTAGGGGAGCATTTGGGAAATAGTGATCACGATATGGTAATTTTTTCAATAAACTCAAAAAAGCAAAAGCACGTGGGGTATACTAAAATGTATAATTTAAAAAAAGCTAATTTTAATAAGATTGGGGTAGCTCTACAACATAGAGACTGGCATAAATTCCTTAGTGAAAAAAACACTGAGGATAAATGGAAGCTCTTCAAACAAATATTAGACAGGTACATTTCTCAGTATGTACCATTGGGTAATAAATATAAAAGAAACACATTAAAACCAATGTGGCTTAGTAGAGAAGTAAAACAAGAGATTAGAAATAAAAAAGGGAGTTTAAAGCATTTAAATCGGACAAATCAGAGGCATCCTATATAAGATATAAGGAAGCCAATAATGCTTGCAAAAAGACAATTAAAGTGGCTAAACTAGAAAATGAGAAATGTATAGCCAAAGAATGCAAAACCAACCCCAAATTTTTTTCATACGTTAATTCTAAAAAAATAAAAAATGAAAGTGTAGGTACACTGGAAACAAAGATGGGCATGTTAGTTAATGAAGACCAGGAAAAGGTAGAAATTTTAAATAACAATTTTTCTTCAGTATATATATAATGAGGATCCTATAGTAAGAGATATGCAAATGATTGCTGCAAAAAACTTGCAGATAACTTGTGATTGGATGACTCTAGAGGTCATTCTCTGCTACAGCAGTTAATGAAAATTAATGTAAATAAAGCTCCGGGGCCTGACGGTATTCACCCATGATGAGTACTTAAGGAGCTAAGTAGGGAAATAAGTAAACCTCGGTATTTAATCTTTCAAGAATCTTTTGTTTCAGGTATTGTACCGAAGGATTTGAGGAAGGCAGATGTCGTTCCAATATTTAAAAAGGGTTCAAAATCATTGCCTGGAAATTATAGACCTGTGAGATTAACTTCTGTGACTGGGAAAATATTTGAAGGGCTATTAAAGGATAATATTCAGGAATTCATTGGGAAGAACTTTATTATCAATAATCAGCATGGTTTTATGAAACATAGGTCATGTCAAACTAACCTAATTGCATTCTACAAAGAAGTAAGTAGAAGTATAGGTCAGGGTGTTGCAGTGGATGTGATCTATTTGGATTTTGCCAAGGCATTTGATATGGTTCCTCATAATAGGTTAGTCTTCAAACTAAAAGAAATTGGTCTTGATGAATATTCTTGTTCTTGGGTAGAACATTGTCTTAAGGATAGAGTACAACGAGTTGTCATTAATGGTAAATTTTCAGGCTGGACAAAAGTGGTAAGCAGTGTCCCTCAGGGTTCTGTTTTGGGACCGCTTCTATTTAACATATTTATAAATGATCTTGAAATAGGCATTGAAAGTCATGTTTCAGTGTTTGCAGATGACACAAAACTTTGTAAAGTAATAAAATGTGAGCAGGATATTGCTTTGCTGTAGAAGGATTTAGATAGATTGGTGGACTGGGCACTAAAATGGCAGATAATATTTAATGTAGAGAAATGCAAAGTTATGCACTTCCGGGTCAAGAATGCACAAGCAACTTACACCCTAAATGGTAGGGAATTAGGGATAACCACACACGAGAAAGATTTGGGAATTGTTATAAACAACAAATTAGGCAGCAATATGCAATGTCAATCAACAGTTGCTAAGGCTAGTAAAGCTTTGTCATGTATAAATAGGGGCATAAATTCTCAGGATGAAAATACAATTTTGCCTCTTTATAAATCGCTGGTAAAACCACACCTTAAATGTGCTGTGCAATTTTGGGCACCTGTTCTATAGAAGGATATCATGGCACTAGAAAAAGTGCAGAGACAAGCTACAAAATTGTTAAAAGGAGGGGGCGGAGCTAAGCTGCCATGCTGAGCGGTCGCACTGGAGATGAGCTCCGTGCAAAAGCTCTCTCAAACGGCCAGAATCAGGGCACAAACTCACCAAATTGACAACTAGGCGACCTGGAGAAGGGAGCCCTAACACTGCAGAACCAAGCAACAAGCATCCCGACCAAAATCGGAGGCTCCTAACTGGGGATCGACCTGAGGCCTACCAGAGAAAGCCTACAGACAACCACTTATCTGGAGGTCTCCCCGGCATATTTCCTCCCCCCCCCCCCCGCCGGAGAGGGATATCCCGGCAACTAAAGCCTGGAACACAGCGAACCGACAATAGAAGTGTCTGTCCTACACAGCCAGAACAGCACGAGCACGCATTGGGTCACTGGGAAACAGCTAAGATGGCTGTCCAGCGAGGGCCCCACAAACCAAGCATACACACTCAACCAACCTCGAACGCCCTGGGGGAATTCGACCGATTCTGCGCGAGCCTCTGGACCTTGCTGAGCGACCGTGGAATGACTTACCGTCTGGCGGTGAAACTAGTGGCCACATGGATGCGTCCAGTGACCCGGCGACGCTATTATAGGCATCCACCACAAGCAACCAGAACGGCAGCCAGACCCTGCAAATCCCGACGAGCCCAAAGGTGCAAAACACCACCAAGCAGCAGGAGAAAGCACACAGGTCCCCACACTCACGAGAACGAGACTACCAAAGCAGCCTCCCACATAAGCTATTCACCGGCGACGGGAACCGGCGTCCAGCAAAGCTCACCTCCATGCCTCCAAGTCACAGCTGCAAACCGGGGAGCTGCATGGCTGAACACCCCACTGAACACCACTGGAGCTGGACCCCGGCGTGCGGACGCCTTCAAGGAGACCAACGTTGACAGCAAGAGACACGTTCATGCACTGGGCATCGGATGAAGAGCCTGCCTCTGTGCCTCTCAAGTAATCATGGCACACTTGCATCTGGAGGGCACGTTCACAGCCGGCAACAACCATCAACATATGGACTACCCACGACTAGTAAATATAACTAGCACTGCATGGACTAAGTGTTTAAGCGGACAATGCTGGCAAACTTATAGCCTAGGTACACAGAGATGCCGTGAAGTATGCCACAGACTACCTAGTTATTTTTTTTTTTTTGTTTAGCTCAGGGCCAGATAGTCACTTTTATGTCCACATGTAGTTAAGATGCAGTAGATTAGCATGTTATCACATACCCAGCAGCAAAATAGTCTAAACTAAATAGCTTGAGCTACGAATTAGTATCTTAAAACAACATCTATTGCACTGTTCCAAGCGATGCCTCAATATTGTTTTAATGATGTTTTATAATAGCAAAAGCGAGAACTACACTGTTGAATTGATAATTCTAATAGCCTAAAATTTGTGCCTGACTAGCATATGTCACAACCTGTATAGCAAATGTTTTCCAACCTATCCTGATGCCGCTGTTGTGGCGCACCAGGGCTACTTGTTACTATTGTGCACAACAAAAATAAAGAATTAAAAAAAAAAAAAAAAAATTGTTAAAAGGAATGGAATTTTCATTACAAAGAAAGGTTAAAAAATTTCAATCTCTTTATTCGCCTCAGAGTGGATATGATAACATTACACAAATATATTTGGGGCCAGTACAAGCCATTATCTGGAAATCTATTCATAAACAGGGCTATAAATAGGACACGAGTTCATGCATTTAGGCTGGAAGAAAGGAGATTTAATCTAAGGCAAAGAACAGGTTTTTTACAGTAAGAGCAATAAGGATATGGAATTATGCCTGAATATGCCTGAAAAGGTAGTTTTATCAGAGTCCATCCAGATGTTTAAATAGCAATTGGATAAATACTTGCAAAAACATAACATACAGGGATATAATTTCTAATTAGTGGGGTAATAGCTGCTTGATCCAAGGAGACATCTGACTGCTATTTTGGGGTCAAAAAAGAATTTTTTCCTAGTTTGTTGCAAAATTGGAAGCGCTTCAGACTGGGTTTTTTGCCTTCTTTTGGATCAACAGCAAAAACATATGCGAGGAAGGTTGAACTTGATGGACGCAAGTCTCTTTTCAGCTATGTAACCATGTAACTATGTAACTATATAATAAATAGACACCAATGGTGAATATGGAATGTGAATGTGATATGAAACATGTGGCTCATGCAAGACGACCAAAGACTTTGCATGACCTGGAAGCATTTTGCCAAGACTAATGGGCAGCTATACCACCGGCAAGAATTAGGCCTCGTAGACAACTATTACAAAAGACTGCATGCTATAATTGGTGCTAAAAGGGACAATACACAGTAGTTTTACAGCTTATACAATCCACACAAAAAAAAAAAAACGTTTTTAACACCCTAAATTCATTAATAAAATCTGTATTTTCCTTATTAATTAAACTTGTGGTTGAAATTAGTTTTATATTACAGGCCCTTTTAAAAACTGCTTCCACGTGCAAAGAATCTGTATTAATGAAACAGAGAAAACAGCCAAAGAGACCAAATAAATTAGGAATTGGACTGAAAACAGAGACTAGTGCTGATGGAATATGTCTCTTCTGAAGCGACATGTCTTTGGATTCCGTCTTACAATGACAAATGAGTATGTATTTAATGCACGCGTATGCTTCATTCAAAAAGCACAGGAGTAGTTGTTTACAACAGTTAAATGTCAGGCCATTTTATGAACATGAAGAATTCACAAATAAATTGCTGTCAACAAAGCAAATTGCTTTTAATCCAGAATCTGAGCTTGAATATATTAGTTCCCTAACTGGAGCCATAAAAATGATACAATTACACTAGGATTGACTACTGTTTCTTTTTTTAGCGTTCTTTCAGATTTTGAGATGTTAAAAGCTTCTTCAGTTCCAGAACAGATCTGTAATGCATCCCTTTTGTTCTAATTCTATCTATATGCTCTCAGAGAGACTTTAATATCCAGACCAGATCTGGGGCAATGCTGACAAGACCCACAAGGTCAAAACTGCAGTCCATTGCTGGTTTCTGGTCGCTGGTCATATCCCAAGCTATGGCTTAAATATAAGCGGTGTTTAAAACATTGTCTATTGCTAAGGGTAATTACAGAAATGCAGTATGAAGTCTGAAATGCAATGTCTGTGCATTTAGATAGTTCCAAAACATGATTTCTTGGATTTCTGTGCTCAAGGTGGACTTGTCTAAATCCAACTTGAGATATGCAGGTGATGCATAAAAGTATTGTTTCTAATCTCCTAGTTTGTTTTTACATTTTAATACTTTACAGCAAGTAAATTACAATTTATATATATATATATATATATATATATATATATATAAAAAATAATAATAATAATAATTGTATTGTCACCTACCATAGGGGTCAGGACAAAATGTGTCCTAACATTTACTGAATGTAAGCAATATTATTTGAGAGAAAATGACATGATAGGCTATGAAGGATTAAATCCTCTAACAGCTCATCAGCAGACTCATAAAAAGACAGGGTAACAGGTAACATGTTGGTGACAGCTAGCTAGGTTTACATCGCAAGAGCTCAACATTCAGATTGTAAGGTCCACCTCTTCAACTTTTGTCTCAGTCAATGTTATTTGGATGAAGAAGTAGGTTTGGGCACACACAGTAGATTCTTCAGCAGGTAGACTTTATTGTGGAGTACCAAAAGTTAGACAACGGTTCGGCTTCCTTTGTCAAGTCTGCCTGCTGAAGAAACTACTGGGTGTACCAAAACCTAGTTTTTTATTGCACTGAATTTGTTTATTGCCCTCCCTGTTTTGGAGCACCCTAGTGCGGGAACTCCCAGAAAAAGTTTGAGTGCAAGGTCCTCTAAAAATTCTACAAGACGAATGTTATTTGGATGTCAATGTTATTTGGATGTCAATTGTTGTCAGATACTCCCATCCTATAATTGTAAAGCTCTGCGGAATTTGTTGGCCCTATGTAAATGCTAATAATTGTAATAATAATAATAATAATAACTCTTAATTTGTGAGGTCTTAACAATGTATTAATGGAATCCTGATCAATAAGAACAGCAATATTCAAGCTCAGTCTGAGGAACCGTCTAAGAAAAACATGTAAAGTTAAAATCCTGAAAACCCACACTATTTGGTGTAATACAATGACTAACTTTACCACTGGCAGAGTTTAAAGAACAAACAATTCTAGAATTTTCATCAGATAAATATCATCAGACTCTATAGTTGGAGATTTAATTTGAAGAATGTAAAACATTAAAATGAACCATGCAAAAACACTGGTTATTATTAGGCCCTGTACTATAAAATTAATAATTTTGAACGTGTTATATGCTTTATATGTTTACACAGAAGTGAACTCCATGTCTGGCTATTGTATTTTTTCAATCTAATCTAAAAACTAAAATTAATAAAGAATGATAGAATCACATTATTGCAACATACAAAACATCGAAAAAATAAAAAAAATCATGATAATTGGAAATCAGGCAAAATTAAATCCTACAGATGACATTACAGAAAAAATAAACATGCACTAAAAACAGACGGTCCTCCCTCCTCCTCATATAGTACAAACATCTCGAAAATGCTATCCTAAAGACATCATCACTCTAAAATAGCATTGTAATGATTAGTCTGTAACTTAGACAAATGACTATTTATTCATATTGTGTTTATTTAGGATAAACTTTTAATAGGTTAGCAACTGATAAGACTATTTGAAAAATTCTTATGGTATGATATTCATGGAAACATTTGAAATCAAAATATTACCAGAGGCCAACACAAAGGGAAGATAATAGTGGGTATAATGTGATGAGTGGTGGGTATAATGTGATGAGTACCCTGGCCCTTTTTTCTGTAGTGAAGCAAACCACTTTGCAATGGATTATCCTCTTATTTTGGGTCCCTGCTGCCAGACACCAAGGCTCCCTGCAGGTCTGGTGACGCTTGACAGGCTTCTGCATAGTTCCATAAGCTGGATGCCAATCCCAATATCCCTCTTTGGCTGAGAGTGTCACCTCCAGCAAGAAAGATATTAAACTGAGTATATGCTGCATTTCATACCAAAACGCTGCACATATGAACTCTAGGTTATGGTGCTTGGTGTAACACTATACATTATTTATTGTTTATTTTATATGTATGACAGGAATGAATGATTGAACTTATATCAGAATACGTCTGTTTGCTAAATTTAAGGAAATATTGTTATTGTCACTCCACTGCCTTTCTACCTGGGCCACATGTATCTGATGTAGAAATTGTGATTGTTTATTGCTGAAGTTAATATGAGTGTCCTTGGATGTTTATTCCAATTTTGGAGGGTGGGGGGGAGGAGTTGCTGCAACAGTTATATAATATTGTATTTAGTCTTAAGCCTTACCACATTTTATTTAAAGGACATTTTGTTACTAAACTACAGACATGATGATGAATAACAGTCTCATTTTTTTTTAGTTTATTTTTAAAGATTTAGGCTTTGCACCATAATCACTGCATGCTGGTACAGTGTTCATACTGCAGATGCCTTCCCCCTGTTTCCTGGTCAACCATTGTTGATTTTCAATAGTACCTGCTTTATTATTACAGTTAGTTATACAGCCCTTGGATTTGTGGGGAAAAAATATATAATGTTAACTCAAAATTTCGGGTAACTGTAATGTGCGTTATATAAGCTAACAGTTACTGGCAATAGTTAATATCCCTTTAAAATAAATTCTAATTTGTTAATGTTATATTTTGACATGTCAGTAATGTCATCAATATACAAATACGTCTGTACAATTCCTAATGACTATTTTGAATTTGATTACACTAATATGATCAAACATTTATTATAGAGAAAGTATAGAAATAATTTTACTGACCTTTAAATATAATGGATCAAAACACTCACATGTATCCTTTTCAAAATCATAAGTGAAGCAGCCAGACG